TAGTCAATGTTCTAGTACTCTAGGTTATAAACGCAAAACAAAAGTGTATTTGCAAGTTTAAATGCTAAGAAACAATACTTATTTTCTACCATGAATGGGAAAAATTCATGATCACAGCAAATTTTCAAGCGAACTGCTAACTTTTCTTCTCAGCAAGGAATACCACACCAGGCACTTACCTTTTTGCTCAATTTCACAGCGACAATCCCTGACTCTTTTGGCGAAAAACGGTTGCATATAAAACATTTAACTTTTAACCCATAAGTCTATCCTCAGTCATTGTTTTTATCGGTGAACATCACGGCTTTTACCTTAAATGTGTTAACAACGCACTCTCGAGAAATATGGCGTTCACATCGAGTGAATATTAAACGATATAGATAAACGTACACTATTAGCTTCATTTTGAATCAGCCAAATAAATTACGGAAGACGCAATTGAGAATAGAGGTATTCAAAATTTACATAAGTTCTTTGACCAGAGTTATTAAATATCCACATTTCATAAGGACACCTTCTTGATCCAATTCAACGTTATAAAATATTTATCACGTTCGGTAAAAAGGATGTCCCTGAGTACGTACCGCAAGCAGAAATAAAAGCTTATTCTGGAATTATCTCTCCTATGGAAAACCTGAAATGCAACTCTCTGATGACTACAGTAATTTTTTTTAAATTAACTTTGAGAGATAAGCAACACCCCACATAAAATTGATCTGATAATATAAATTGGCTAACTGTTTCTGCTTTTATTTTCAGAAGTTTTCAAAATAAATGTTTGTCATTCGAATTTCGAAATTTTTCTCTATAGAAGTGTAACACTCGCTCGCCCTTCTCTGTTGCATTTCGCCACAATTAATTATTTGTTGTATTTTTACAGCGATGAATTGTTGTTACGTTTCTCTAAATATGGATTCTTGGAATTCCCTCATTATTTGAAGTTACACAAAACGCAAAATGGGATTCAAGTATTTTAATTTCCAACCGAGTTTCTGCATCTCTAACTGAGAATAACAATCAGTTTGAGACAAGAAACAGGGGTTTGCATGGAAAACAACTGATATTCACATTACATACCTGAAATGGGAGTAGCAACTCTCTTTTCAAGATGAATCTAACAATTAAGAAACTTAATATACTAAATACTGCTTGACTCACCCAAAGGAAACTTAAGAAACTCAGGAAGATAACAAGACCTTTTTGACACATTTAATTTATTCGTGGTTTAGACTTCTTTCCTACCTAAGCACAGTGGTATTCGACGATGGAAAACTGTGGCTTTTTCTGTGAGGGAATTAACCCTGTCACTCCCAAGATCCCATTTGCAAATCTCCTTACTGTTTGCCATACAATTCTTATGATGTTAGTTTGGAGAATTTGATATTGGATAATTCCCAGATTGATATTTTTCTTTATTCTCATCACTTGTCAGCTTGATATTCTACTGATATTGTAAGGAGAAATTCTGTCCTGATCACTCAAGGCAGTTAAAGAGTTAAGACTCAACTTACCCTAACAATGCGAAAACGATATCTAAATAAAAGTTGATGACAACAGACAAATACACCAGCTAAGTGTTCTTGTCTTGATAAAACGCCAAATTCTCCTAACTTATGGGCGAGGAAATAAGTAGCAGCTAAAAGGAGAATCTACTTAACAATTATTTCACGAGCGCGCGTTGGATATGAGATGATAGATAGCCAACGAGGCGCTTAGGGCCGAGTTGGCTATAATCATCTGATATCCAACAAACGCCAGTGGAATAATTGTTTTATTAAAAAAAAAACGCCCCCAAGCTAAGATATTAGACTAATCTTCTGGATTTTATTTTGTGAGAAGAAACTGGATGTTACAATGCACAGATATTAGATTATGGTATATTGGCTCATATACCATGATAGTTAAGCCAATAAAAAGTCTTGAATTGCATTATTCAATGATCCAGTTTTTAATAAAATCAGATAATAGGGTTGAAACGGTTCGTTGAAGAACCGCACTTCCAAGAAAGCAAGTAACTGTTGATTAATCCTCCAAAAGCAGTATCTTACAAAACATCCCCGTCTAAAGGGTATTTTTTTTTTTTAAGTGATTCTTGTTTTTCATCAGGCTGGCTTGCATTCCGAGAACAATTTACTTTAGCAAAATTTAAATGTGTTTACATGACAAGAGGCTTCNTATAATCTGTTTGCGATGACTGACCCCTCCCCTCCATTGAAAACCATGTGATCCCCCTCAAAATCCTCCACCCTCCCCCCACCACCACTGGCGCGATAAATAATAATTTGTCCCAAACATAAAACTCCCCAGATGAACAAGCTGGGTGAAACTTGTAGGGTTGTGTATTTTCGTCAGGTAAGGAAGGCTAAAAGTCTCGTCATGAGTAGGTGCTGAGAGGGATTTTCACCTCAGGCGCAAAACATGGGCCTAAGTCGCTAGTCCCAGTCCTCCTTCCCATGCTCGAAGATTCTAAAGTGGTCTAAACCATAGAGATTTTTCACACTGTCTCGTTCCCATCTCACTCAAATAATATCGAAAATCTATCAGTTGGCTATCGCCACCCAATACACAAGGTTAAACAGAAGAAACGAAGAAGGGAAAAGAAATCTACAGAAATTGTTTAAAATCATTCCCAAGTTTTCCCGGGAGACTCGTGCCGACAGTCCGCAAAGCTTCTTGGAAAAACATAACGATAAGAAACTTCTTTTCTTGAGGCCAGACGTACTACGAACGATGGGATACACGACTCCTTGAGAGTCTGCCACGAAGTATGAAAAACGGCTCCAAATCTCTGGCTCCTCGGGCATCTAAAGTTATGACAAAGATTCAAAGCTAATACGTTATGCATAAGAACCGACAGGGGTTACGAGATAATCTCTGAAATACTTTCTGATACTTCAACTAATTTCAATGGTTATTCATCATGCCATAGAGGACAAGTATAGAGATAAACAAGAGCACAAAGACCACAAAGTCTTGAGAAAGAAGTTTCTACAATGAGTTGGTCGTACAACTGGCATTTTTTCTAACGTTGGGTCGCGCCAAGTACGGAGCGCCTGAAAAATTTTACCCTCTCCTCAGTTCAAGATTGAACTAGAGTGAAGTAAGTCTCCATCATTGTTTGAAAAGAAGAGAATATCATAGTATGGTTCAACCATTTTCCCGTCAATTTTACCCGAGATCAATTTTTATGGAATAGAAAGCGATAGGTCGTTGATTATTATGAATTAGCAACTTCAGAGTGATTCATTTACCTGCATAGAAGTTGCTTCGGCTGGTGGTTCACCGCTGACCGACCTCGGCGGGCCCTGCAGTTGTTTGTTTACCCGTCGATCAAACCGGAAGATCAACAGACACATGATCAGCGTCGTAAACACGAAGATGAACGAAGTCATCAGGTACCAGTCGATCGCCTTCGGGTAACTGACTCGGGGCATAGTACTGTTACTGGAGCCGAGCAAGAAAACGATCGTGAGCACAGTCGTAATCCCGAGCGCTATTCGGTCGCCGATGTTGGCTCGGTCCATCCAGAACACGATCCAGCTCATAATGACCATGATGATGCAAGGAACATAGAAGTTAATGAGGTAGTAACCGATCCGACGACTGAATGTGAAAGTTACTATCATGTCACGGTATTTACCTACAAGTAAAACAGAGATTTACATCTAAGAATTTCATAACGTGTTGCACAAATGAGTCACATGAAACTCTTCTGGTATTAATGGGGTAGCTCCGTGGTGCTGCGTCGGTGATGGAGTATAACAAGTTAATTTGGTTTATTCAACTGAGATAATAGGGCAAATTGAATTGGCCACCGTACTAAAGTATCTAAGTTTCGAGCACTAGCCTCTCGTAAGGGCGAATGATATTTTCTATTAATTGATATTTTCAAAGTGGGGTTAGTTCCCTAAGTTTCACATTTAACCTTATCATACGGGCCAGGTTAGCTTCACATATCTATCACAATTCTGGCGTTCCCAAAGCGGGAAAACTGGACTTGTAGCCACTCTAAGTAAAGCAAAGTAAAACTTAAAGCAAGCAAACTACATCGCTCGGGACTAAAACTTCTGACGAAGATCTTTTTTCAGATTATGGGCTCCTGTTACGACAAAAAAAGAAGAAAATCCTTGAGACTATTATGGTTTTTCCTAGGGAGAACACTCCCTGGGGGCCTTCAGTATATTATATTGGATACCTGCAACGTACTCTACATCTTCGCTAGTGTATTCTGTCTTTGTCAAATCAAATTCTGCCAGCTCCATATTGAGGATATTTATTGGATTGGGGTACTTCCATCGGTATTCCACCATGTCTCTGGTGAAGGCAACTTTGAAAGGATAACAGCAAACTGGCACTTAAAATATTTAGTTTACTTATTTGTTTTGAGTGTCTACCTTAAGAACAGTTGAGAAGGAGGCTGTGGTGAGAGACTGTGTTTCGTTTTAGCGTCACAGCGAAATCTCTGTTATGTGAATCTCGTATTGAGCGATCACAGATCGAGACTACTTTGTAAGTTTTAAAAACAGTATGTTTTGGCAGTTATATTGATTGTCATTTTTTTCTTCCCATAAAACTGTCACATTCGGAAGGTTATTGTTTACTCAGTCTGTTACATATGGAGCTTTTCTAATTAATCAAAATATTGCACAGTTTACTAAACATGTTTCAGCGGACACCGTGCATTAAGAAGACGCAGGTACAAGGTCCGCGTTTGTTTACAGCGCCTAATTTATATAGTAATACTGCCTCGTGGATCACCAATAAATTTTGCAAGTTGCGGCTTAGTACGTAGTTTCTCAACTCAGTCCACCGCAGCAAATAAGTAGAGCGCATCAGTGATGATCGAGCCTTAGCTGGCCAGCTATGCGGCTCTACCACAAGCCGGCTTGTATACTCATAATTTGACCTCTTGCCAGTTCCGCGAGTCAATTATCGTGTTTAAAAAGAACATTCAAAATCAAGAAGCCTCACTCAAAGCAACAATTCCAGCTCATACTTACAGCTTTCAAGGATTAGGCTACATTTCTGAACATCCGTTGGAAACTTTTGTAAATACATTCGACAGGAAGCCGCTACAAATAACCTGCCACAGACGAAAAAGCATTTCTTACGTATGAAGTTCATTCCCTATATATCAAACTGTCTTTTTCTCTCCACATCGAGCGTTCGTACAGCTGTTCTCAAAAGGCATGCTTTTCACTTTGGCTGCGTCTCTGAATGAGAAAGTTAAAAGCAAAAATCCAAAATATTGTTTTGTGGGTTGGGGGTGAGGAGACCGTGCGCTACTGTTTAACTCTAGCCTCGTAACCAGACCTTCCCCGGCCAAGCAGGTGTACATAGAAGGTAGGATCTGGGTGAGAAATTATTTGAACTCTAATGCGCTTTACAAGGAGATTAAAGAGATTTACCAGATGAAAATGGTGCTTTTTTTTAAGTCTGTATAAAATTACAAGGCCACTCGTGCCAAACTAAAATTTAAAGAGTAAAACAATGAACATTTCCTGAGATAACAAATGAGGAGAACTTCAATAATGATATACGTTTTAAGCATTTTTAAGTGGAGTTACAACTTTCTTGCGCAGTTCAATTCAAAGCGTTTATCATTTTTCGTCGCCATTTTGGAAAGAGAGCTGTTCCTTCGTGTCCGCCATGACATGATTTCTCGGTTTACCTTGAACTATAGTAGACATATCCAAATTTTGATACCAGAGCCAGTTGATTGTCCTCATACAACTTATAGTCGTTCATGTTTGTGAAGTAAGTGTCTGGACGCCATATTTTTTGTACATCTTGGCCTTGCACAGGTAACATTCCGTCCATATGATGCGCTAATCTTCTGTCATTCCATTCTTGACGCAAAAACATTGATGTTGTGAACTCCTATTGAGAAATAAATGAATTTCATTGCTCTTCAAATGCCGATTTCACACTACGATAAGTCTGTGGCCCATCAGGCCGGCGCTTGACTACGGTTTCCGTAGTAGGAAGCGACTAGGAGTATTTCTACCCCCCCCCCATGGGATGCTAGTCCATCACAGGGTTACCCCCTAAGCATTAAATTCGCCGGTACCCATTTACACACCTGAATGAAGAAAGGCACTGTGAGAGTAAAATGTCTTGCCCAAGAACGCAACACGATTTCACTCTAAAGATGAAAAAAATCTTCATCTATAGGCTTCCATTTACTGTATTCATGTTTCTCGTATCCCGGTTCCTAACGATGATCTGTCCAAGTAAAGAATTGTTGATCCTCGCAGATGTGCAGTCATGGTTATTACAAAAATTGTAAGAAAAAAGCTTTAAAAAGTGCAGGTTTCGACCCATGCCTTCCAGAACTTGGCTAGTTGGGCGCCACTACCAACTGCATGAGCTGAAAATCCACATGATGGGTGGGTAGGAAATTTAAAGGTTCTTTGTTCCCACGAAGGAATCCGATCACAATCATTGAAATTGAATAAGAATTTTCGACATGCGGATGATATTCAGTTAAAGAAATGGTCCACGCAAGTGAGTTAGAATTTAAAAAAAACTTGCAGAATAGAAGCCTGAGAAGTGAATTTCATCACAAGTATAGACAAAATAACAAAGAAAATAAAACCTAAAGCAATAAGATGTAAAATATATGAAACAAATTACCCACCATATTTGATTCCTTGATGTTCGTAAAAGATTGTATTGCCATGCTGAGATACACTATAACTGGCTTTTCTAAAGAAGTAAAGATCGATTTTAATTTGTTATCATTTTAGTGATTCATCGATTTTAAAAGATAACCATTGTTGGAGGGATAATTACACATCTGTCACGCCGGAGTATTTAAGAATTCAGACCGTTTCGTGACTCCTTTCTCATCAATATCACGAGGTAACGCAATAGATATCACTGACTTGTTTCCATGGTAACACCAAATTAATTAGCCCTCCAGAAATATTAATGTTCCAGAGGAGATTTCCCAGTGATTTCTCTTCTTATAAATCTCAAGATATGATGACAATTTGTCCCTTCTGGTTTTCACATATATCCCTATAACTTCTAGTTTTTGAAATGACACCCCC